AAGGCTCTCCTCCGCGTAGTCGCCAGTCGGCACTGACTGGCGGATGAAATTCGGAGGAGGCCTACCCTGTGCGATCTGATGGTTCTGGTTTGTCCTCTCCTTAAGCAGCCATCCCTTGACTGGATAATTTCCATCCAGTTTCCTATCTTTTCTTTACAGGGAGTGGTATGAAAGGTGGTTGCTTGGCAACTCCAGAGTGTCCTGGATGTCTTTCAATCTGGATTCAGGTCTGGCTATGGGACAGAAAAAATATTGGTCGCACTTATGGACAGTCTCTGGCAAGAGTGAGATAGAAGTTATGCAACCATCGTTACTCTTCTTGACTTTGAGAGGGTCAACCATGATATCCCCTTGGGCTGGCTTAGCAAGTTTTAAACTGGTTCAGCTCCTTTCTCTGAGGATGCTCCCAATTGGTGTTGATGGTGGCAAGAGGTCCCACTCATAGCCCCTGCTTCGTGGGGTGCCACAGGGCTCGGTGCTCTCTGTTTAACCTGTGCATGAATCCATTGGGCGAGATCGTCCTGAGACTTTGAATAACTTTATACAGCTCTCAAAGGGCCACCACCTCCATCCGCACCAAGGGTTGAGATATCATCAATATGCAGAGGATACTCAACTCTACATTTCTACACATGATGACGCAAATGATGCCGTCTCTGTCCTCCCAGCCATCTTTTTTTAACTAATCGTATTGATGTATTCATTTTTCCTTGGTTAGTTTATTTTATTCTTCCATTTTGCTTTTGCTTTTTTTAAACTTCCTTTTTATTTCTTAATTTTGTATGTTTGAGAGCTGCCTAGAGTTAGCCCCATGACAAATGATTTTCATCATCATACTGTCACAGCCACCAGAGTGACTTTATTTTTACAGTCCCTCCTCTCCACCCAGGGACCCTCTCCTTCTAGGGCTGACAAGGCTTTGGAGGGGGGTCTCTAGTCTTCCTTGCTGAGGGAGAAAGGCAGGCTGGCTGGCAGCCCGTGGGAGGAGTTCATGTCTGCTGGTGCAGCACATCCCTTGAGTTCTTCCATCAATCTGATCTGCTGCATGGAGCCGGGAGGTCGGTGCTCAAGGAACAGGGTTTATATGCCATTTTTTTCAGTGTTCAAATAGCTCAGGATGTGTGAGGTCAGGCAGCCTTACATTCCACGGTGCATCATCCAGATCTGTCCAGTATAAATCATGATGGTGCAAAATGTGTGTTGTAATACATAAACCTCAGATGCCTTTGGTAGAGGGGGGCTAACCAGAGTAGGCGCCAATTGAAGCCATGTGGTTTTGTTACAATGTTGTGACCAGCAGTCACGAAGCCACCTTAGCTCCACTTCCAGATGGTCCTCAGGGCGACGCTTGGGTTGCCAGCTGAGGATCCTGGCGCTGGAGGGTGGGGGGGAAGCCTGCTTGCTTTTCTGACAAGTTGGGATTGGGAGGGGAGGGTGAAGCCCCGTCGCTGCTTCCCAGGGACTCTGCTGGGCTTTTAAAGCAGGGCCGTCGGGGCTCCCTGGGGCGGCTGCCCTGCCTCCCCTTGCCAGCCCCAGCGGCTCCCCTGCCCCTCCGTCCGCCTCCCCAGGAGAAGAAGCCTCTGCGAGGGGCAACTGCTCCCAAGGGGGCTCCCGGATGAGGGGGGCTAAACAGTGCCCCCCCGCACAGTTGCCTGAAAGGCGCTTTGGACATGGGGCGGGGCGGGGCGGGGCGGGCTTCTCCAGGCGGCCCCCTCCAACCTCCCCGGGAAGCGGTGCGGAGGGGGCGGGGAAAGCTGCGAGGGAGAGATGGGCGGGGCGTTGCCTGGGAGACGGGGCGTGCGTGCGCGGGGGAGCGGGCGGGCCCGGAAAGGTTTTTTCCGGCGCGAGCAAGGGAGGCAAGCGCGAGGGGGCGAGGCCTCCGCGGCAGCCCCGCCCCCTCCTCGAGGGGCGGGGCTCCGCACCTGCGGCTCGCCCGGTCCGGGCAGTTGAGGCGGAAGCTCCGGCCTAGGCGGCATCTCCCGGAAGGTCTCTTCAGGCCCCTCGGCACCTCTCCCTCCCGGCAGGCGCGGAGGCCGCGCGGAGCTTCCCCGGGTGCCCGGGTGGGGGGGTGGACCCGGCACAAGCGGGTAGGTGCCCAAGCGAGGTGGGCGGCCCCGGAGGCCTTTGCTTTGCTCTCCGGGGCCCCCCGGTCCACAGCCACCCTTTCCCCCTTCCCTCGCAGTCCCTGCCCTGCCGCCCCTTTCCTCCCGGGACTCTTTCAATGCAAGCCTGCCACACACACCCCGGCAGATCCCCCCCCAGGCGTACTGGCCCTGGGCCGCCCCTCCCCCCCGCCCCTCTCCCTGGAGTAGAGCCCCCCCTGGGCACCCGGCTCCTTCCACCCTACCTGGGGGAGGCTCCTGGGGGGGGGTGAAGCTGGGGGTGGTGTCCTTCACTTGGACTAACATCTGGGGCCCGTTTTGAGTTAAATTCTCATCCTAGTCAGGTGAAAAAATGACTTGTGATGCATGCCTCTTAATGGCCACATTTGGGATTGGCCATTCCATTGCTAAGCAATGTGGTCGCTAAGCAAGACATCACTTGACCACAACTTGCGATTTTTCCAATTTGATGTTCTTGCGGGCCAAAAGCCTGTTGCCAATGTGGGATGCTGTGTTGGTCATAAGTGCAAGGACCACTTGTAAAGTTACATCTTCAGTGATGCCGCAACTTCAAATGGTCACCTAACCGTCAATGTAGCAGTTGTTAAGTGAGAATCACACACCTTATTTGGCAGTTGTGATTCTCTGGGGTGAGAGAAGGATGCCCATAGCTGCCTTTGGCTGATGATGCCGGCTTCCTTCGGGATGACATTTTGCCTGGCCAGTGTGGATGGAGATGCCTGGGCGTCTGGCTGGTCTTTGGCCATGGGTGGAGAATCAGTGGCTCCCTGGTGTTGAGCTTGGTGCTGTGCCTGCACTCGAAGGCCTAGGAGTTCACAGCTTTCCTTCCTCTCTCCTTCCTGCAGGTGCTGCAGCTCAGCTGGATGGTGCAAGGCATGGAACGCTTCGCCAGCTCCGGGACCCAGACGGAGGCGGTGGTGGTGCTGTCGCTGGCCCAGGCCGCTGTCCTGGGTCTAGTATCCGAGAATGAGTTCCTGGGAGGCACAGTCAATCCAGACAGCATTTTCTCCAGTTTGGCAGGAAAACTGGATGATGAGGCAGCAGCTGCTGAACTGAAGCAGCCTGAAGGCAGCAGCCCATCTGGCCCATCCCAGGGGGAGCCTCCTGAGGAAGAGGAGGGGCCGGAGGCAGAAGCCTCCTTTGGGAAACAGGCCCGGAGGAGGAAGCGGCCCCCCGTGCGCCTGGTGCCAAAGGTGAAGCACGAGAGGGGCGAGATGGAGGAGGAGGAGGAGGGGGGCAGCCCCGAAGCGACCGCTGGTGGCCCTGAAGAGCAGGGGGAGAGCAGCAACCCGGAGGAGCAGTCTTCTGAGCCAACCAGGCAGAACAGCAGCAGGATGACAAGCCTCGGACCCTTCAGCCGGCGGTCCCAACCCTCGCGAAGGCCCCCACAGCAAGAGCACTCCTTGGGGGCCTATGAGGAAAGGTTTCCCAGCCCACCCCAAGCCAGCCTGGACAGGGCAGAAGCCTTTCCCAGCGGCTGCAGTTTCCCGCCTGGCCTGCCGTCCCTGAGTGGCATGGAGAATCAGCTGCCAGCTTCTCCCCCAGAGCAGGGCAAGAGTGAGGCGGGCTTTGCCTGGCAGGAGCCCCTGGACTTCGAGGCAGAGGTCCCCGGTGAGCAGAGCAAGAAGGTGCACATGGACCGCCTGGACATCAATGTCCAGATTGACGATTCCTACCTGGTCGAGAAGCGTTGGCAGTGCCGCCTGTGCGAGAAGTCCTATACCTCCAAGTACAACCTGGTGACCCACATCCTGGGGCACAACGGCATCAAGCCACACTCCTGCCCGCACTGCGGCAAGCTCTTCAAGCAGCCCAGCCACCTGCAGACCCACCTGCTCACCCACCAGGGCACACGGCCCCACAAGTGCCAGGTGTGCCACAAGGCCTTCACCCAGACTAGCCACCTCAAGCGCCACATGCTGCTGCACTCGGACGTCAAGCCCTACAGCTGCCGCTTCTGTGGCCGCGGTTTCGCCTACCCCAGCGAGCTCAAGGCCCATGAGGGGAAGCATGAGAGCGGCCGCTGCCACGTGTGTGTGGAATGCGGCCTGGACTTCTCCACTCTCACCCAGCTCAAGCGCCACCTGGCCACGCACCAGGGTCCCACGCTGTACCCGTGCCCCGAGTGCAACAAGTCCTTTCACTACCGCAGCCAGCTGCAGAACCACACCCTCAAGCACCAGAATGTGCGGCCCTTCGTCTGCACCGAGTGTGGCATGGAGTTCAGCCAGATCCACCACCTCAAGCAGCACTCCCTCACTCACAAGGTAGGCCGGGGCCACGCAGGGGTCCAGCAGCCTCCGCCGTCCTGGCTGGAGCCGCTGAGGCCAGCTGGGGGCCTTCCCAGGGCTACTGGCCAGGCCAGCGGGGCCACTTCCGTCTCTCTCTCTCAGGGCGTGAAGGAGTTCAAGTGCGAGGTGTGTGGGCGGGAGTTCACGCTGCAGGCCAATATGAAGCGGCACATGCTGATCCACACCAGCGTCCGTCCCTATCAGTGCCACCTCTGCTTCAAGACCTTTGTGCAGAAGCAGACGCTCAAGACCCACATGATCGTCCATTCGCCCGTCAAGCCCTTCAAGTGCAAGGTAGCACCCGGGGGGTGGGGGGAGGGCAGCAGCTCCATACCTCACGGGTCTCCCCTCCTCCACAGCTGCATCCCAAGTGTTCTTTCCCTTCCGCTGCACGTTGGCCTCCTCTCCGGCCTTCCTTGGAGGGGCTCTGCACTGGGCCAGGCAGGCCTGACCGTCCCTTGCCAGGACCTGCCCAGACATTGACCCTCCCCTCCCGTCTTCTCTGCCTGCAGGTGTGTGGGAAGTCCTTCAACCGCATGTACAACCTCCTGGGCCACATGCACCTGCATGCTGGCAGCAAGCCCTTCAAGTGCCCTTACTGCTCCAGCAAGTTCAACCTGAAGGGGAACCTCAGTCGGCACATGAAAGTGAAGCATGGCGTGATGGACCTCAACCTGGACAGCCAAGGTTGGAGGGGGGAGGGAGACGGCTGAGAGGGGAGTCCCAGGTGCTCTCCTCCCGGAGGGACCCCCAAACAACCTGGCCTGTTTGCATTTCTCCCCAGATCCCATGCTGGAGCTGGCAGGCACCAATCCCTCAGAACTGGACGGGCAGCAGGAGATGGATGACTACGAGGAAAACGCCTACGACTACGGGGCAGTGGGCAACGCCAGCGGTGGGTCTGCCCTGGCGGAACAGACCATGAAGGAGATTGCCTACTACAACATGCTATAGTTGGAACGGGAAGGGCCTGGTTGGGGGGGTGGGAGAGGTTGGGCTGCACAGCACAGGAGAGCACGGGGAGGACCGTGCTGGGCTCTTGCTGCATTGCAGCCTCTGCGGCCCTCCCAGCCGCCTCTTGACCAGGTGTGGCTCTGCTGGTTGGCGGTCCTTAGTTGGGCGCTAGCCTTGCGGGCCTCCACTTGCCTTACTCTACCTCCCACACCTGGCCAGGGCGACCCTGAAGACCCATCTGGGGGACGGAGGGGGGTTCTTGGGAGGCTAAGCAGATCTCCCTCAATCTGCTTCTGGACCGGAGCGCAAGTGCTCACCTCCCACCCATGTTGCAATCTACCTCTGCCCTGAACTCTGAGGGAGCAGCCTGGGTTGGAAAGCCTCCCCTGACCCGGTGGACTCCAAAGCGCGCCCCCCCCCCTTACTTGGCAGAACGGTCAAGGCCCGCCCTGCACAGTCTGCGGCCGCCGTGTTCTCTTCCTGGGGCCTGGCCCCTTTTGTGCATAGAGCTACTGTGTTTATTTTCCAGTTCTGAAGAAGTTCAGCAATAAATGAATATTGTTTGGCAGACGGACTGGCTGGTGGTGCTGGAGCAGTGTGGATGGGTCGCACGGACTGATTCGCACTAAGGGAGAAGCCATCGTTTAATAGCTCTCTTTGGCACCCAAGGCAGTTACAGCACTCAATCATTTTCTTCTCTGCTTGCAAGAACTGCGGTCACAGAACAGGAGGGGGGGGGGCAAGGTCTCCTCCCCAAGAGTGGCCACAATGGCCTCACAAGTCTTAGAAACAGGCCAGGAGGGACTCCCACTGAAGGGAGCACCCATGCGTATGCGCTCGGATTCCCCTCAGCAGGGTCTTCGCTGCTGCAGCCCCTCTAGTCTACTGCTTGCTCAGGGCTCGGTCCAGATTGCCTTTGATGGCGTCCAGGAAGTCAGTGGTGTTCACATAGTGCTCATTCAACTTCACACTGCGGAGACACAAGAGTCAGAGGGTCATTCGGGGGAGGGCGGGGCTTCCAGCCAAAGGGCCCAATCCCAGCCAGGCCTCACTTGCTTAATCCATGGATGCAGCCAGCCAGATCCTTTGTCATCGTCCCACTCTCCACTGTCTCTACGCAGACCTTCTCCAGAGTCTCGGCAAACCTGGTGAGGGAGGGGAAGGCTCAGGGAGGGAGGGAGGGGAACGGCTTCCCACAGTGGGCAATGCCAGCACACAAAACCCCCTGGCTCCTCCCCCCTCACTGCCCACGAGGGCCTGGGCAGCGCTCACCTGATCAGCTGCGGGTTGCTGTCCAGCTTGCCTCGGTGCTGCAGTCCACGGGTCCAGGCGAAGATGCTGGCAATGGGGTTAGTGCTGGTGGGGCGGCCCTGGGGGAGAGGTGCAAGCAAAGAGCATGTGCTCGGGGGACTGTGGGGGGCTGCTCTTCCCCAGGACTCCCCACCCACCCTCCAGGCAAAATCACCTTTTCGTGCTCCCGGAAGTGGCGAGTAACCGTGCCGTGGGCAGCCTCTGCTTCAATGGTCTTTCCATCCGGACAGACAAGAACGGAGGTCATGAGGCCCAGGGAGCCAAAGCCTTGGGGCAAAGCCAAACCCTGGTCAGGCAGGTCCATTGGGCCGGGAAGGAGAGGGGCGCTGCTCCCTTTGCTCACCAGCGCCCAGAAGGCCTGCACGGCTCCCCAGAGACACAGCCGGGCCAGCAGCCGTGGGAAAGGCAGTAAGAGCTGTGGGGCGAGATGCTTCTCCCTCGCCTGCTCTGCTAAGGGAACACACGCACCCCTGAAAGCCAGGGTGTGTGTGGCTGGTCTCCCTCTGCTTTCCCCCCCAGCAAGCAGCTTTGCTTTGTGGTCCATAGAGCAATGGGAGCCCCGAGCCCAAGCTGCTTCCCCTGGAAGGTGCCACCCTGGCCTGGCAGCACTGGCTGAAAGGAGGAGGAGCCACTCTTGCCAGATGTGAAGGACTAAAGGTCCTCTCTCTCGTCCCTGGGGCTGGCTGTGTGCCCCAGGCAGGGCCAGTAAATACCTTGGGCCAGGATGTCTGATTGGACGTCTCCATCGTAGTTCTTACAAGCCCAGACGAAGCCGCCAGCTGATTTCAGCACCTGGGCCACCATGTCATCAATGAGCCTGTGCTCATACCAGATTTTGAGCTTGTCAAATTCAGTCTTGTAGTGCCTGAAAGAAGGGAAGGGGGGGGGGGGGGAGGACGAGGACAGGAGGCCGCCTCAGACAATGCCAGTGCAAAGAGGCACCAGAGCCCTGGTAGGCAGGCTCTGACCCATGTCAGAAGAGCCCAGGGGCGGCTTCCTCCCACGGTCCCATTGGACTAAATGGCTCACTTGTCGAAGATTTCCTGGAAGATGTCCTTGAAGCGCCCATCGTAGGCTTTGAGGATGGTGTTCTTGGTACTCAGGTAGAGCGGCCATTTCTTCTGGATGGCGTACTGGAAGCAGCTGTGGGCAAAGCCCATGATGGACTGCAAGAGGCAGGCCAAGTGCTCAGTGGGACATACCAAGGGGAGGCTGGCACTAGCTCTCCCTCCCTCCCCAAGGCAGAGGAGGAACATTGGGAACATTCAGCAGGCCAGACCCCCGTGAGGCTGGGCACCCCCCCCTCTCAGGAAAAGATGGGTCTGTGAGTCCTGGCCCGACCCCTCTGCCCAAGCTGCCCCTTTTCCTCACCTCATCGGTGTTGTACATGCCCAGGCCGACACCCCCGCCTGGGAAGTTAAAGACTTCCCACTCCTTGGCTCCACTGCCATCTTTGGGCACGAAAACCATCTTAAAGGTCCCTGATTTATCCACCACGAAGTCCGTGGCTTTGTACTGAAAAACAGGTTATTACAGCCAGCCCTTCTCTACAAGACATCCAGGCTATAGAGAAGCCAAGTTCAAAATCCATCTAGAGTAAGCAGTTAAGTCCAGTTAAAAACAAGCAAGGTTTCAAAAACTGCATTTTTAGGCAAGACAAATAAGTGATGCTTTGAAAAATGAAAAATCCAGGAGGATCAACCACTGCTCGTTCCCACCCACCCCCCACCCCCAACACTGCTGAGGGGAGTCCAGCAGTGGCTCCAGAATGGCCTTGCTAAAAAAACTGGCCTTTTCTTCTCTTGTTCAAGCTTCAGACCAGCCGTGGGAATTCCTTAGCTTTGTCCCTTTCCCGTCTTTGTAACGTTTGGTATAATCTGGGACATAGTGGGAGAATTTGAGGATTTGCACTTAGATGCATCATGGCTGCCTGCACCCACCTTGCTTTGCCCTGGTGCATTTCCTGACAATTCTGCCTGTCGCATTGGCTCTACTGCCCACCACCACTAGGAAGTGCCCTGTCCTGTGTGTGGCTTCTCTCTCCTGTCCTTGACCCAACTGCTTGAATTCAAGGTTATCTTTAATGAGAAGCTGTTCCACAGAGGTTGTGTCCCCATCGGGAAGCTGTGACTGGGATGAGGATTAGATTTTTACCACACTTTATTGGGGCCTGGATTCAGGTAGTCCGGAAAATGTTTTTGGATTGGATCAGCAGATTGTATCCCATTCACATTCACTTAATGACTTCCCGTAAACACTCAACTATTAAACCTTGAATAAAGTGCAACTTTGCTGATTCTCTTGGCTTCCATAGGTGGCTCTGGCAGTAGCAGAACTGGAGCCTGCAGGCCTTTCCTTTCGAACTGCTCATGGGACACCCAGCACCAAGAACGCTGGGGTGGCAGTAGGGCACCCCTTTCGTCCTCGCAAGCCCACCTGGTCACCGTGAGCGTGTCTCCCGATGGTGATGGGCTTTGTCCAACCGGGGACCAGGCGAGGGATGTTCTTGCAGACGATGGGCTCTCGGAAAACCGTCCCCCCCAGGATGTTCCGGATGGTGCCATTGGGGCTCTTCCACATCTTCTTCAGCTTGAATTCTGCAGGGGCCACAAGGGAGAGGCCTCTGGTGTTGGGGCCAGGACGACTTGCCCGCCTCCTGTGACACGGCGGCACCTTCCTCGGACAGATATTCCCCGGGGGCCCCTCATTGGAGCTTCTGTCTTGCCTGGTCTCACCTTCTGCACGTACCTTCCACACGGGCCTCATCGGGGGTGATGGTGGCGCACTTAACGGCCACGCTGTACTTCTGAGTGGCCAGGGCTGAATCAATGGTGACCTGGTCCTCTGTCTGGTCCCGGTGGGGCAGCCCCAGGTCGAAGTACTTCAGCTGCAGGTCCACGTTGGGCAGGATCAGCTGCAGGCAGCAGGCAAGAAGCAGTCAGGACCAGACACCCCTCTGCCCGCCTCCCCTCGGCAGGCTTTCCCATCCCCGAGAGAAGCAGTATGTGTGCACTTCCTCTTTTGCAGGTTTTATGGGCAGGGATCACTTTTAAGTCCTCAGGGGACACTATTCTGCAGGGCTGGAGGGAAACCTGATACTGCTGCCTCCCGTGAGCCACTGCCTTGCATGTGAAAAGTGTTTGTGGTATCTCCAGGGCTGCCTAAGATGCATGCAGGAATCCACAAGATCCCTTGGGATTCCCCATCTCCTCCCTGCTCTGCCCAAGCACTTACACCGTCCACCTGGGGCTCACTGCCACCATCAGAGTCTCAGTGGCTTCAGGGTTTGTCCCCGCCCATCGGGGCAGGGAAGGTGGGCAGTGCCAGGTACCTTCTCCTTGATGAAGGCCCAGATGATCCGGGTCATCTCATCCCCGTCCATTTCCACCACAGGGTTGGCAACCTTGATTCTCTGGTCAGCATCTGTGGAGAAGACGGAGGGGGCAACATGGTGACTTTCCCTGCGCCCGAAGTAGGCCCCCTGGACAGCCCCGGCCTCCTTCCCAGTTGTTGAAAGGGATTGCAAGGGAAGATTTAATCCCCCCTCCCCCAGCCACCAGGCTCCTCTCTGCAACCAGCAGCTGCTTCTCCCCGCCCACCCCAGCCGGGCTATGGGGCTGCATCAAAGTCTCCGGCCAGAAAAGGCGGCTGTTTGGGGGCATCTAACGGTCCAGCCCGGGAGGCTCCGGCGCCTTCCTCCCAGTCCTCTGCGGAGCCCACTCGCTCCCCGGAGGGGCCCCCATCGGCCTCCAGGGCTGCCGCCACCCTCCTGCCACATCGCGCTGCCGCTGACGGGCCGCCCCGCCTCGGAGAGGGGCGGCCTCTGCCCGCCAAAGGGACAAGGTCACGCTCAGAGGACGCCGGCAGCGGCAGGCCCGGCCGCCCCTCTGCACCCTCCGAGCGCCAGCTGGCCGCGCGTCCTCCAACAGGTGCCCGGGCGGGCCGGCTGCCAGGGCCGCGGAAGAGGAGGGGGCCGAGGCCTTCCCCAGCCCCACCGCTCCGGCCAGCGAAGAAGGCCGGGCGCGCAGCCCTCCGCCGGCTCAGACCCCAGCAGGGCAGCGCCGGCGTTCGGCCGGGCTGCCGACGGGAGCAGCGCCTCCTCGCTCTGGCCCAGCTCCAGGAAGCCGGCAAGGCGCCCGCCAGACGGGGACCGGCCCTGCGGACCCGGCGGCTCCTTCCGATGCCTCCGCCGTCCCTTTCGCCAGCGCTGCCCGGCGGCCCTGCGGCTGGACGCTCGGCGGAGGGGCGCCAAGG